AAGCCGAGCCTTCCCCGCCGGGCCGGGACCGCACCGGGGCCACCATGGCTTCCATCGGCAACTTCTTCCGACGGAGCCTGAGGCGCTCGGTCCGCAGAGGTGAGGGTCGGGACGGGACAGCGGGGAGCGCAGCCCCCCGTCGGGGGGTGCCGGTGGCGGTGCCGGTATCGGTGGTGGTAACGGGAGCGATGCCGGTGGCGGTGACGGAGTCGATGCCGGTGGCCGTGCCGGGACCGACGCCGGTGACGGGACCGACGCCGGTACCAGCCCCGGGGCCGCGGCTGCGGGACCCGACGGTTGCCGGCGGAGCGGGGACTTTCCCGGGCAGCGCAGCGCGGCGGGACCGACGGGACGGGCACCGGCACCGGCACCGGGTCGAACCCCCCCAGCCCTGCCCGTACCCTCCGGAGCTCGGGCCGTCTGTCGCCGGGGTTTACTCATCTCCCGGGGCTTGCTCCATCCTCAGGGGCTCACCCCATCGCGGGAGCTGCCCCCCATCCCCTGGGAGCCAACCCCGTCCCAAACCCCCCTCCCCCGGGAGGGTTTCCCGATCCCCGGGAGGGTTTACCCCATCCCGGGGGCAGCCCCACGGGCTTCCTAATTATCGCATCCCCAAAAGCTGTTCTCCCACCGAGGGAGCGTCGCAGGGCACGGGCAGAGCGCGGCATCACGGGCAGAGCGGCCGCACAAGCTCTTGCACGGGCCGGGACGTGCCCGGGTGGTGCCAGGTCCAGCCCGTGATACCGGGCACGGTGCCCCCGGGACAGATCAGTCCTCCAGAGCCTTTAGAAGCCGATGCAGAAATCGATCCTTTTGGAATTTGTGAGCTTTGCCGAGATACGGGATGGATTTTCGGGGGTTTCTTGCCTGCCCTCTCACAACCCCCAGCAGAGCAGGTTGGGGCAACCTGTGGATTTGGGGGGGCTCACTGCGAGTTCCCCCCCTCGGGTCTGTTTTGTGCTGCCTGGCTCTTGCTCCGGGGACGATATATGTTTTTTTTTTCCGAGCTCTACCGAAAAGCTTTGATGAAGCAAAAGGCGGTTCCTCTCCGCCGGGGCAGGTGGATGGTTGCACGGTGTGGGAAGCAGAGCTCCCCCCAAAAACCCTCGTGCCAGGCTGGGAGATTTCGGTGCACCGCAGCCCCGGGAGGAAAGAAACAGGTTGTGCCACATCACGGCACGGGTCTGAGCACAGCCTTCAGCTGATAAGAAAACTCTGCAGGATGGAGGATCAAGGAAGCAGCGCAGAAAAAAAGTTGTTTTCTTCTAACACCAGCAGCCCCGGTGCCGTTTCCGCATGGGCCGGGGCGCAGCGTGGCAGCCTTTGCCCTCGCCGTGCCCGGAGGAGGCAGGGGTGAAAATCCACGGCACCGGCAGCCACTTTCCATCCAGGAGCTGGGTGACCCCCCCCAGCCCCCTCCTCGCAGGGAATCCCACTGCTGGGGGGGCTGGGGGTGGTCCCCAAGTCTTCCCCACTTGGGCTCCGGGAGAGTCATTGGCCAAAGCTCTTGTGACCCCGGGATTTACTGCACCTCCCGGGGCTTGCTCCATCCTCAGGGGCTTAACCCATCCTGGGAGCTGCCCCCCATCCCCTGGACACATCAAGGACTATGAATCCTGCCAGTTTTGGGGAGTGCTGGGACTTCTGATGCCACATTAAACCCGTCCAACGCTGCACGATGGTTCATGGCCCTGAACATCCCCAGAACTCATCTTCCAGCCCAGGGAAGGAGTATTGTGGTCCCGGAGGGATTTAGGCTCTGCTGGTGAGGGCTTTGTGATCAGCCCTGGTGCAGGGGATGCTGCCGGGTGACACCACGCTGTCGGCAGGTCTCACCACGTTGGGTCACCTTCGGGCAGGCACAGGGTCCCTCTGCGAGTGACAGACCCCCAGCCCAGCACGGCCAGTCTCCCCAGTGTGGCAGGTTTTACTGGGCTGTTTGAGAAGACCCTGGACGTGGTGCAAACCCAGCCTTTCCTTGAGAGCACGGCTTGTGTTCTCCAAAATGCAGGATGGGACCAGATAGGGCAGGATTTAACTGGACTTTCACCTTATCCTGGCAATCTGTGATGGGAAAACAACCGACACCGGCATCCAGCGAGGGTGGGGGATGCCAGAATGCTCCCCACTGCACGGCCTGGTTCCCCAGGGTCCCCCCAACAACAACCTCCTACCCCGGCCCTGTCGGTGAGATGGGACCACTGAAGCCATTGCTGGAGCATCCCAAGGAGAAGCAGCAGCAGCAAAGTGAATCTCATTGACCTATTTTCCCTGTTCCCGAGCACTTTTCTGGGTTGTCACCCAGGTGACCCCGCTGAGGACAAACCAGAGGTGTCTGCACCTGGGATCTCACCCACAGGATGCTCCTGGGCTTCCCACTGCTGCAGAGGGACATCTTCGGGATGAATTTCACCTTGCCAAGAGGAAGGACTTTGCATGCGGAGGTGGAGTGGCCTCAGGGTGCAGGTGGGGGCAGCTTTGCACATCTCCCCGCCCCCAGCTGGGAAAGGTGTTCCTGGGAAAGGGCATCCCATGATGGGACCATACCAGGTGACCCCGCTGAGGACAAACCAGAGGTGTCTGCACCTGGGATCTCACCCACAGGATGCTCCTGGGCTTCCCACTGCTGCAGAGGGACATCTTCGGGATGAATTTCACCTTGCCAAGAGGAAGGACTTTGCATGCGGAGGTGGAGTGGCCTCAGGGTGCAGGTGGGGGCAGCTTTGCACATCTCCCCGCCCCCAGCTGGGAAAGGTGTTCCTGGGAAAGGGCATCATAGAATCATAGAATAAGTGTCACCTCCTCGGATGAGCTTTCTGCTCCCATCGGCTCCACATGACCTGGAGTGAAGGGTTGAAAGGTGTTTCCAGACTTCCAAGGAGGTGACTATGGAGCTGGTTTGACAACACAGGGTGGGGTGTCCGCCAGCACTGCTTCTGGAGGAGGATGTCATGTCTGGGGGAGCAGGACGATGGGAGCAGCCATCCATGGCCATGCCTTGCCCTGCTGAGCTGTGGCACAACTAACAGAGCCCAGGGACAAACTCCAGGATGCGGGGAAAAATTGCAAGAGTCAGTTATTTCATCCAGCTACGCGTTTGTTTTCCTGCCTGGCATTCCTAGGAGCAGCTCAAGGATTTCTGTTCCAGCTCCCCACCATAACCAGAGCCAAGACCAAGCCCGGGACAGTTTCAGTGCCAGGAACCAGGGATTTAGTCTCAAGAGGGAGAGGGGAGAGGGAAGAGCTGTGGCATGGCCTGGCTGCAGCCTCTTGTGGCATTTAATTCCTCTCCTTCCCAGCCCTCAGATCTCACTGCCCCACCGTGATCGTGCCAGCGCCCTTGGAGACGTCAGCTTGGGCTCTTTTCACTCTTATTTCTAGTTTTTCGGGTCGTGACAGCTGACGCTCACCAGCTGTCCTACCCAACCGGCCGAACAAGAAATGGGGTGTAATCTCAGGGAATTACTTTGCTTTGGGAGCTGTGGTTTAGGGAAAACCCTCGAGTATCTCATTTGCAAGCAGCAGTTCCCAGGACTGAGGACGTCTGGCAGGGAGAGGCTGGGATTCATCTTGTTGGAGCCTTTGGAGGTGCTCGAACAAGATCTGTGCTGTTTGTTTGACCCTTTTTTCCCTCTCAGGGAATAAAATTAACTGCTATAAATGCATTCCCACACCTTCCTGCAGATGCTTTCTGCAGAGACCGTCTGCTCTCCCCGTCCCACGTGCCAGCTTCGCTCTGGGCATCCCTCTGCCCTTCCTGGGATGGGGCGAAGAAGGGCTGGGAGTGTCTGACAGCACTTTGATTTTGTCCAAAAGACTCATGAAAGCCACTTCTCGTTCCCTGCCCCGCACCAGCACGTCCCCAGCTGCTCACTGTGGGGACCAAAACACCCTGTGCACCAACTCCAGGTTCTCTCCAGCCACTTTGGCAGGTTCACATGTAGCTCTGCATCCCCTCTCCTGCCATGAGGACACCTCCCGGGCTTTCATTCACTCTTGTTTTTTGGGTTGTTTTTTTCCGTTTGGCTACAGAAGGAAAAGAGGAGGATGGAAAGAAGGAAAACAACCCCTCACGGGTGCCGCAGGGGAAAGCAGGAGAGCGGAGCTCGGTCCTCTATTCCGCTGGACAGTTTTTCTTTGAGTACCTGGTGGTGGTGTCGCTGAAGCCGGTGACAGATGGACGTTATGAACCCAAGATAAGCTACCAGTTCCCAAAGGTATTTAATCCCGCGTTTCTGGGACAATGAGTTTTCTGAATTTAGAGGAAAAGGTGATGTTGCTCCTTCCCCGTCACTAGAGCAGGGGGAGGAGAAGAGAAAAATACCGCATGTCCTGGAGTCACACACCCAAGCCCCAGAGCTTTGCCTGCAGTGGGTTGGGGTTGCTGGGACCGTCTGTCCCTCCCTGTGGTCCAAGCCCTGGGCCACAAACCCCAGAAGGAAAGTTCCGGGGTGGTCCTTCCTCTCCTGTCCCACAGGGGAGACCACAGCAGTGAAATCACACCTTGGGGAGGTGGCACAGGAGGAGACCCCCTGTTCACAGCGGGGCTCCAGCTGCCTTCACTTTGCCCCACTATCCATGGGGTAAGAGAGTCAAAAATTGGATTTTTGGGAGATGCTTGTTCAGGGCTGTGCAGGCACTTTCTTCTTTGGTCTGAGCCAGGGGTTTCTTTGGGACACATCCCATCCCACCCCATCCCCTGGGGCTGTGGGTGTGCTCCATCACCTTCACTCTTGGCATCACTTTGTTCCAGCGCGAGAACTTGCTGAAGGGCCAGAAGGAGGAGGAGGAACGTCTCTTGAAAGCCATCCCCCTCTTCTGCTTCCCCGATGGCAACAACTGGGCCCCCGTCACTGAGTTCACCAGGTACCTGCCCCACGGTGGGGTCTTAGCCATGGTTTCCCACCCCTGATGGCTGTGGGCTGGAAGAACCGTCCCATCTCCATGTGCTGTCTCTCCTTGCAGTGAAACCTTTTCTTTCGTCCTGACCAATGTGGACGGCAGCAGGAAGATCGGCTACTGCAGGCGGCTGCTGGTGAGTGTCATAGAATCATAGAATCATAGAATCATTCAGGTTGGAAGAGACCCTTGGGATCATCGAGTCCAACCATCTCCCCTACTCTACAAAGTCCTCCCCTACACCATGTCCCTCAGTACCCCATCTAAACATCCCTTAAACACAGCCAGGGATGGGGACTCCACCCCCTCCCTGGGCAGCCTGTTCCAACGCCCGACCACTCTTTGGGTGAAAAATTCCTTCCTAATGTTCAATCTAAACCTCCCCTGTTGGAGCTTGAAGCCGTTCCCTCTCGTTCTGTCACTAATTACCTGTGAGAAGAGACCAGCACCAACCTCTCTACAGTGTCCTTTCAAGTAGTTGTAGAGAGTGATGAGGTCTCCCCTCAGCCTCCTCTTCCTCAAACTAAACAGTCCCAGCTCCTTCAGCCACTCTTCATATGATTTGTCTTCCAGGCCCTTCACCAGCTTCGTTGCCCTCCTCTGCACTCGCTCCAGCACCTCGATATCTCTCTTGTATTGAGGTGCCCAAAACTGGACACAATACTCCAGGTGTGGCCTCACCAGTGCCGAGTACAGGGGCACAATCACCTCCCTACTTCTGCTGGTCACACTATTTCTAATACAAGCCAGAATATATACAAGTCCCACTGTCCCTACACCCATCGCTGGGTCGATCGTGGCCGTGCCACCCCATCCCCATGGTGGGACACGATGCCTTCTGCCATGCCCAAAGTACAACTCTTGGGGACATGCCTTAGAAAGCCACTTGCCCTGGCAAAGAAGCAAGGGGGTGCCCAAAGGGATTTCTTTGGGGCTTTCTTCTGCTGGGGCATCAGCTGGATGCTGGATGGAGGAAAGCAGTGTTTGCTCTAACCCAGGATTGGCCTGAAATACAACCAGGAGATGCGATGGTTGAGAGGTGCCATTCCCCGTACTGGTGGTCGCTGCCTCCCCACCGATCTCCTGCAGCTTCTCTGGCTCCTTGCCCTGGGCCACAGTGGTCAGGATGGCTGCAAATCCCACTCAGGATCAGGTTGGGATGTGCGTGTGCCCATCCAGGTGCCAAGAAGTGGGGTGCCCTCAGCCCCATCCCCAAAAATTACTTCTGAGCTGTGGGTGCCTTTCTCAGCTCATGGATTTGGCCGGCGTGGGGGCTGCGAGGAGCGGTGGAGGGTTCCTTGGCTGCTGATTTACACATTAATTCACATGCCTCATTCAATAGGGACATAAAGCCACGGGGCCACACACCACGGCTCAGTGACTTGCTGGATCCCACCTCCCTGCCATTCCCTGGGGAGCCTGCCCACTTCTGCATCCAGGGCTGGGCTTTGGCTGTTTGAACTTGAAGTCTGGAAGGCTGAAAGTGCAGGGAGCAAACAGAGCCAGGATAATCTACTTGGAAAGGGAAAACCAGACCAGGCACTCATCCCGCTGGTCCCTGTTCCAGTAGGAGGAACAATTAGCCCTGAGGATGGTGGGGCAGAAGGTCTTGAAGGACATGTATCTGGGGTGGAGGAAAGTTTGGGAATATGCCAGAGGGCTTTGCACCAAAATGATGAAGAGCTTTGGCATCTGGATTGCCTCCTCCAGGCACCCTCTGCTTTTACAGCACCAACTGCACTCTTGGCCTGAGCCCCAGCTCTGAAAAACCCCCAGTGGGTGCCTGGGCATCTTGGGGAGGGCAAATATGGCCCAGAGGGAATCTCTAGGGAGAGCACAGAGCTGGTGCAGTGGGGCTGGGAGATGCTCAAACCCTTTTCCCATCTTCTTCCAGCCATCTGGCCGTGGTGCCCGCCTCCCCGAGGTCTTCTGCATCATCAGCTGCCTGGGCTGCTTCGGGCTCTTCTCCAAGGTAGGGATGTGGTGGCCTTGTCTGGCACATTGGTTGCCCATGCAGCCACTCTGTTGCCTGCCGGGGTTTCATAGCTCACTTTTCTTCCCCCCAGATCCTGGACGAGGTGGAGAAGAGGCGCCAGATCTCCATGGCGGTGATTTACCCCTTCATGCAGGGCCTTCGGGAATCGCCCTTCCCAGCTCCAGGGAAAACTGTCACCATTAAAAGCTTCATCCCCGAGTCGGGCACGGAGGTTGGTGGGGATCTCGAGGACTTAGTGTGCACCCTCAGGACTGCTCATGGGGAGTCTGGGTTACCTCCGGGGGCATCCTCCACACCATGGGTGCTCACTGGAGCTGGTGGGTTGGGTTGCTGGGGGCCTTGTGACCTGGGGAATTGGGTGCCTGGTCCAGGAGGAGAGCAGCAAACAGTGAGGATGAGGATGGAGCCCATCCACAGGTGATGCTGCCCCATCTTTGCATCCAACCAGCATCTTTGTGTCTCCGTCAGCCTCGAGCCGGAGCTGCCAGCACAAAAACCTCCCCGGATGCTGGTTCTTAACACATTGGTGCTTCCAGAGCCTTTACACACCCCGCTCCTGTGCCACCGTTGGCACCTCCAGCTATGGCACACAGGGCTGTCGGGGTGCACAGAGGTGCCGGGGCTGTGGTGGGGTGTCGGGGGCTGTGGTTTCCCCAGTTGAGCATCACAAGCCCGTGGCCGGCACGGCGCAGGCGTGGGGCAAACCCATCCTGTAGCTGTGAAACACAGGTCTGATCCGGGCAGGGTGCCCACGGGGCTCATCTCGCTCACACACGGCCCAGGCTTGCACGGGCAGCACCTTTCCTTCTGCTTTTTCTTTCTCTTGTGGCAAAGCTGGGGTGGAAAACGGGTGGGGAGGGGAGGACCCTGGCACCGGGGCAAAATAACCTCAGTGCTGAACGTCCCCAAAATTCGCCCTCCCAGGGTGAGTCTGAGAGCGAGATCCCTCCTCGCTAGTGCAATTTGGCAGCTGGCGATCAAATTGCAAGAGATTTCTTCATCCAGGAAGGCTTGTGCAAGGGCTTTGCAGGTTGCTCAACGCTCTGGCCACCGGCCAGGCTGCAGGGAGTGCAGGGGGTGACGGGGTGAGGACGTTCTGAGGACGTTCTTCGAAAGAGCTGCGCTCTGGGGCTCCAGGCAGGGGCTGCAGCAAGTTGAGGAGACGAGTGAGAAAACAAGGAAAGGGATAAAAAATAAATCTTGGGTATTTCCTGAGCTGGGAGCTGGGGATGGGGCAGGATTTGTGCTGGAAAGGGGCTGAGGAGCCCGGCCAAGCCCTGTGCTGCGGCTGGGAAGATGCTGCTTTGCTGGAAAGGGGTTTAGGACATGGAGGAGGGGGATTCTCGCCCCTGTAAAGCTGGGGAGAGGGGCCAGGAGTGTGTCAGGAGCCCCATGGTCCTGCTAACCCTTCAGCAGTCACCATCTTGGGGCTTCCCACAGCAGGGCAGAGGTGTCGACCAGGTTTGGGTGACTCATCTGGGGCAAAGCCAGCAGAATCGACAGATCACCTGCAAATATCCATTAGATAATTCACTTTTTGGGCCACCCCTGCTGGGGCGAGGGGAGCTGGCTCTCCCGGAGAGGTTTTTGAGGAAGCTTTTGTGGTTTTTATAGCAAAAGTCATGCCTTCACCCCTCCACCCTTTCCTGGGCAACGTTCTCTGCTGCTGCTCGCGAAGGGGCTGTCAGCCACTGAGACGGGGGCATGTCCCCCTCGTGAGTGCTGGAAAAAAGAGGCATTTTGGTTAAAAATCCAGTGACCCCATAAATAAACCCTGCAGCACACATCATCTCTGGCTTCCCCTGCCTCCTCAGTGCTCACAGCCCGAATCTCCAGGCAGGACAAGATGAGGTTTGTCCCTTGCAGAGGGACATGATGCAAACTCTGGGTCATTAATTGCTCCCAAATCACCTTCTCGGGGTGGGGGGGTTCAGGTAGGTGCAGGGGGAGCTTCCCACCTCCTGAGTTGGGGTTTGGTGGCTCTCCCTCCGCAGCTCATCGAGCTGACGCGGCCCGTGGACGCCCACCTGGAGCACGTGGAGTTTCAGGCTCTGCTGCAGCGGCTCAGCCCCAACCTCATCCTCCACATCTTCGCCTCCGCCGTCTTGGAGCGGCGGCTCATTTTCCTGGCAGAGGAGCTGAGGTGAGTCCCCCTCTGGTTATTCTTAAATAAAACCCTCCAAAAAAACCCACCCCAACCCTTGACGGAGCTCAGCTGAGCTCGGGGTGGGATGTTGCCTCCAAGTGGTGAAACCCTCAATGCGGTGCCACCACGATGGCTCCTTGTCCCGCAGCGTCCTGTCGCAGTGCATCCACGCGGTGGCTGCTCTCCTCTACCCCTTCACCTGGGCTCACACCTACATCCCCGTGGTCCCTGAATGCCTGCTCGACACCGTCTGCTGCCCCACGCCCTTCATGGTTGGCATCCAGATGCGGTACCTGGAGCGGGTCCTGGACCAGCCGATGGAGGAGGTATTTCATCCGGGAGGGGGAAAACATCTGGATGGAGCCATGGGTTAATCCATGACCTGGGTTTGGATCACTCCGGGGCTGAGGGCTCTGGTTGTGCCTTTTTCTCACCCAGGGAGGCTGGAAATTGGGGCTTTTTGCATGTCCCCTCCTGGGACACCTGGGGCAAGACCTCCAACAACCACCCCAGGACCCACAGCCCTCAGGAGCTGCTGTCGACCAGGCTGGCTGTCAGCATCACCCCAACCTTGCAGAAGCAGACAAAAGCTGCGTGGGGACAGGCACTGAGCCTGGGACAAACACAGTCCCTGGGGAGGATGCTCTGGTCCTCCTGCCCCAGTCCCTCCAGCACAGAGGGACCGATCCCTCTCTGTCACCCTCCTGGGCTGCAGAAAGAGTGGTCTGATCCCAGAATGGGTGGGAGGAAGCCCGGGTGCCTTGGCAGGACTAAACCTGCTCACTCTCTGATCTCTTTCAGGCTCTGATGGTTGACCTCTGCAAAGGGAAGATCATCCGGACGGTAGGTCCCCCTGTGCAGGGCTGGGGGGACTCACATTGCCTGGGCAGCCCAGGAAGGGTCCCTTTCCCCTCGGTGGCAGCTGCTTGGCAGCTTTCACATTTCGGGGTCACAGACATCTCAGTGTCACCCATTCAGGGGGGAATGTCTCCAGTACCTGAAGGGGGGCTCCAGGAAAGCTGGGGAGAGACTCTTCATGAGGGAGGGGAGCCACAGAATGAGGGGGAAGGGTTTGACCCCGAAAGAGGGGAGATGGAGCTGAGCTGTGGGGAAAAACTTGTTTGGTGTGAGGGTGGTGAGAGCCTGGCCCAGGTTGGCCCGAGAAGCTGTGGCTGCCCCATCCCTGGAGGGGTTCAAGGGCAGGTTGGAGGGGGCTTGGAGCAACCTGGTGTGGTGGGAGGTGTCCCTGCCCAGGGCAGGGGGTGGGAATGAGATGGTCTTCAAGGTCCCTTCCAACCCAAACCATTCTGTGATTCTATGATTCTATGAAGGGATGTCTCCAGCCACTGCATCTGCCTTGTTGTGAGCTGTAGGAACAGGGGCTGTGCGTTGGGCATCCCCCTCCCAGCATCACTGCAGCACCCTGCAATGATAATTAAATCCCCGCTAATTAAAGCCCCGCTGATGAGCTGCACTAACCACTTCCAATGGCCATCTGAGCTGGGTTCCCACCCCAGCCGGGTGCCTCACAGCCCCGTTGCCTTCCAGGTGGGCGATGAGGAGGAGATCTTGCCCATCAAGCTGCAGAACGAGATCCTGACGTCTCTGAACAGGCACAACAACAACAACAACGTGCACAGTAAGGACGACTCTTGATATTCGGTAAAACAGACACAAGCTGCCTTCTGCAGATGGCCAGAGTCCTCGGCGAAACAGTTTGCCTAAAGAGACCTGGCCTGGGATGTTTCTGCCCCAATTTGCAATAAAATGCAGCCACGAGAGAGAAATCCCTCGGCCTTTCTCGTGTCCTGCGAAATGTGAGAGCAGGAACAATTAATTCTGCTGAAAAAAAACAGGTTTTGCCAATATTTGGCCTGCAAAGATGGGAAAAGAAACACAGCTAGTGCTCCCTCAGCAAAGTTCATCTGATCTTTCTTTACTGGCAGAGGGAGGTTTTAAGTAAATAATTTCTCAGGATGCAAACAGATACCAGGAGCTGGCCGGGTTAAAATAGGTCCATCCTTTCTATGCTCAGAGGTCCCAACCCCACCTCTCGTCTCCGTGTCCTCTTCCAGCATCCGAGCAGGTGAACACGCTGGTCTCCGATGCCTTCGTGCAATTCTTCGTCCGAATAGTTGGCCACTACTCCTCACACATCAAATGGAGCAAAAACGGCTCAGGCACCTTCCAGGAGCGAGCCTTCTGCAAAGCCATCGCCTCCAAGACCAACCGCAAGTTCGTGAAGAAGTTTGTGAAGACGAACATGTTTACCCTATTTATTGAGGAAGCAGAAAAGAGCAGGATCCCACAGGAAGGTAAACGGCCCCATTTCTCCTTCCCTTTCCGGACGGGTGAGGTCTGCAAAGTCCTGGGCTTTTTGGGCCCCCCAGTTCCAGAAGGAGAGGGAAGTGCTGGAGAGAGTCCAGAGGAGGCTACGAAGCTCCTCAGGGGCTGGAGCATCTGGATGGGTGAGCTCTGCAAAGTTCTGGGCTGTTTGGGCCCCCCAGTTCCAGGAGGAGAGGGAACTGCTGGAGAGAGTCCAGCAGAGGCTACAAAGCTCCTCAGGGGCTGGAGCATCTCTCTGCTGAGGAAAGGCTGAGGGACCTGGGGCTGTTTAGCTGGAGAAGAGCAGCCTGAGAAGGGATCTCATCACTGCTGAGCAAGAGCTAAAGGGCTAAAGGGGGCAAGAGGATGGGGCCAGACTCTTCCCAGTGGTGCCAGGGGACAGGAAAAGGGGCAACAGGCACAAACTGGGACACAGGAAATTCCATCTCAACGTGAGGAGGAACTTCTTTCCTGCGAGGGTGATAGAGCCCTGGAAGAGGCTGCCCAGAGAGGTGGTGGAGTCTCCTTCTCTGGAGACATTCCAACCCTGCCTGGACATGTTCCTGTGCAATCTGCTCTGAGTGGACCTGCTTTGGCAGGGGGTTGGACACAATGATCTCCAGAGGTCCCTTCCGACCCTGGCCAGTGATTCTGTGATTTGGTTAAGGGAAAGAGATGCCCAGTGCCCGCAGAGGGATGGAGCTCAAGGCTGAGGAAGCTCAGGGCAGTTACCAACAGCCGCATTTCTTTGTCCCTGTCAAACAATCAGAAAAAATCCCCGGGCTCATTTTAGATCTTGTCGCTTGACTGGGGACAGGGCAGGCTTACGGAGAGCTCAGTGTTTAGGCAAACATGCCAGTAGCAGCACAAATATTTGGCTTGGATGCCGGCAGCAGCTGGGAGCTGGCTCCGGGCTGCGCTGCCTGCGAGCCCTGACTCATCGCTGCCATCGGCTCCGGCGCGGATCCCTGGCGACGGGGCTGGTCCTTTCCCCTTCCAGGGGATTTACAGGGCACTGGGCAGAGCTGAGCCTCCTCCCAGCCCGGGATGAGGACAAACAGGGGTGGCAGAGGTTGAGGAAGCCACTGAAAACATCTCTGGTGGCCACAGACATGCCCGTGGTGGGTCCATCTCCAGCCCACCCGGGGCACTCGGAGCCCAGCACCACCTCGGTTGCTGCTTCCTCTACCTTTTTGGGGCAGACTTTATAGGGCAGACATAGACCTGGGTGTGCCTGGGGCTGGGAGAGAGGGATGGCACAATCCCAGCTTGCTTCTCTTTATGTTCCCAGTCTATGTGACCTTTTTTGGCTATTCCCGTTATCCTGGTCTATGGCTTGCTTTGTTCCTTGCTGGTTGGAAACACGAAAATCACAGGAGTGGGTTAAAAACTTGGGCTAACCCAGCACAGTAAAGCCCATTTTGGATGGGCGAGAGGGGTGGGTGGGATTGCACCAGCCCCCACCTCACCTGGGTGAGACCCACCATCTCACCTGGGTGCCGAGGTCCCTAACCCAGAGGGGTCTGGCAGCCTCGTATCCTCCCCAGCCCCAACCCTTGCATTTCACCAATGAACCTTTTCTCACCCACAGCCTATTTCCAGCGGAAAATAACAGAGTACCATGAACAGAAGAAGCACCGAAGGGACTCCTGAAGCCCAGCCTGAGAAGGGGGCAGCAGGTCTGGGACCTGGCAGGACCCCATTGGCAGCACCACGCTGCGCACACCCCTGTGCCCCATCCGAGGGCAGAGCTCCCTGGACTCTGCTGGATCTGCCCGACGGTTCCTACCCCTCACCAGATGTCTGGGCAGCACCCAACGCCGGTTTCTGCCATTTATTTGTTCCTCAGGGTGTCATTGCACTGGAAAACTCTTCTGCAAGGAGTTTCACAGCAAAACGGCTGCGGTTTCTTTGCTGGTCTCGCAGGAGGGACAAACTGTGGGTCCCGGGCCTTTGTCCCCAGCAGGGGCTCAGGCAGCGAGGGAGGGAGGGTGAGGAGCTGGCACAGGACAAGAAAAGGGTGTAGAGTAATTGTTAGAGGGGGGAAAAAAAAAAAAAAGAGAGATATGAGTAGGAAATAGTGTTATTTGTAATTAAAACAAAGCTAGGTTTAGCAAATAAGTGACGTCCTATTGAATAAGTTTTCCGAGGTTTCTATTATTAACAACTGTTTCTCTTTATTTTCTATCAAGATACGCTCATTGTTAAACACCAGCAGGAACAGTTGTGGTGGACTTTAGTGGTTTCCTCTACAGCAGCTGTCTGCCCCGTTGGTACTAATTAGAGGCAGGTTCAGCTCTTTAAGGAAACAAAAATACTCTTTTCCAACAGGTTATTTATTTGTGCTGTAAGCAAACTGTGAAGGCCACAGGGCTGCTTTTTGTAGTAGAGAGAAATGGCTGATCCACAGCTTTGGGGCGGGAGGAAGTATTTGTTAAATCCAGTAGAAAAACATGTCGACATCCTCCTCGTTTCTGGTTTTGATGCCAACTTCTTTAAAAACCCTGCAGCTCATTGAAGCGCTGTCTCTGAGACGTGATGCCTGCAGTGGATTTAGAGCTAAATGATGGTTTTCCCCCTTTCCTAATGCACTCAGCCAGGGGATAAATCCAGCAGCAGGGAGAGCTGGCGCTGGCTGCGGAGCTGCCTGGTTCCTTCCCATGTGAACCAGGGCCAGATACTTCTCCCAGTGAGGGCTGCAGCCGAAGGCAGAGCTTCATCTCATCTTCATGAAAGTGTATCCTCAGCAAGTTGGCTGATGATACCAAACTGGGAGGGGTGGCTGACACCCCGGAGGGCTGTGCTGCCATCCAGCGAGACCTGGACAGGCTGGAGAGCTGGGCAAGGAAGAACCTCATGAGGTTTAACGGGGAAATGTGTAGGGTCCTGCACCTGGGGAAGAAAAATGTCAGGCACCAGTACAGGTTAGGGGTGGACCTGCTGGAGACAACTTCTGAAGAGAAAGATCTAGGGGTCCTGGTGGACAGCAAAATGACAACGAACAAGCAGTGTGCTCTTGAGGCCAGGAAGACCAACGGAATCCTGGGCTGCATAGTGAAGAGTGTGGCCAGCAGGTCAAGGGAGGTCATTCTCCCCCTCTGCTCTGCACTGGAGAGGCCACAACTGGAATCCTGCCTCCAGTTCTGGGCTCCCCAGTTCAAGAGGGACAGGAACTGCTGGAAAGAGTCCAGCGTAGGGCAACAAAGGTGATGGAGGGATTGGAGCATCTCCCTGATGAGGAAAGGCTGAGAGAGCTGGGGCTCTTTAGTCTGGAGAAGAGAAGGCTGAGGGGAGACCTTATGAATGCTGACAAGGATCTCAAGGGTGGGTTGAAGGAGGAGGGAGCCAGACTCTTCTCAGTGGTTCCCAGTGACAGGACGAGGGGCAACGGGCACAAGTTGGACCATGGGAAGTTCCACTCCAATCTGAGGAAGGACTTTTTCACGGTGAGGGTGACAGAGCCCTGGAACAGGATGCCCAGGGAGGGTGTGGAGTCCCCTTCTCTGGAGATTTTCAAGACCCACCTGGATGCTCCTGAGTAACATGCTCTGACAAGCTCTGGGCAATCCTTCTTCGGCAGGGGAGTTGGACTAGATGATCTCTATGGTCCCTTCCAACTCTAAAAATTCAGTGAAATTCAGTGAAATTCATCCTCCTCGCTGGGACTTTAGAGCCAGGCTGCCCTGTCCCCCAGTGCCCACTCAACGTGCGCGACAAAGGCAGACATTATCAAAAACACAGTTCAATACAAGGTTTGCAGAGGCACCAAGTGTCACAGTGAGCAATTTTACACAAACACTAAAAAATAAAATAAGCAGGTTGAGCGCCAGACAGCTCCCACTTTCAGAGCTGTTGAACATCTAACAAAAACAAGAGCTGTGTAAAGGGCATTTATTTTCAAAGTAAGTATTTGTGCAGTCATGCACAAATATCAGTGACAGAAACAGAGTTGGACAGAGGGTACGGGCTGAACAGCAGTGAAATCCTCTCGCCCTGCTGAAAGAAAACTGTTGATTTTTTGTTCAGCCCCCCTGTGTGTTTGGAGGGTGGGAACGAGGGGGGAAAAAAGAGCATTTTTGGCACTGCAGATACCCGCTCTGGCTCTGCAAGGTCCCACTTGTGTGTAGGGATAGTGTGGCAGGTTAACCACAGGAAATTAAAGGTTAGTGGTCTTTTTCTGTGTCCTTTTCATTTAAAGAAGTTCACCCGCCAGCAGAAAATTGTGTGGAAAACGAAGGGCACCTCCACCTATCAAGAATTGCCCCTTTGAAAAGACCACTTGCCTCCTCCTCCTCGCTCGTTACCACTTTGAGAAGATGCCAACCTCTTTGGTTAAGAAGCGTAAAGAAATAGAGAAAAAGGGGAAGTGGCCCTCGCTGTGGCAGTAACTCTTCAGAAAAGAAGAATTCAAAATCACGTACGTGACTGGATTGTGTGGTGGCTTAATTCCTGCCAGAGAACGATGTGATAGGAGGTTTTTCCTTAGCTGCTGAAAAGAAAAGAGACACACACAAAAAGTGATCCTTAAATTAAAAAAAAAAAAAACAAAGTTGTTTGAATGTAGCCAGTGCTATGGATGTCAGCAAGGGTTAACGACAGCGGGTTGGGAGGGTTGGTGCTACCTCGTGTGACCCGGGAACAAGGAACAGGTTGAAATAGGATCTTGAGTTACTTAAAGCACTTTTCCTTTTAGTATTGTTATGGAAAAAGAGACCTAGATCCACCCCCAGTGACCACCCCAGAGAAGCCTCCTTTGGGATGCACAGCAGGTCCCAGCTCAGATTCTCAGTTGGCTACAGGAGGACAAAAGGGGACAGAGGAACAGGAGCAACCAGGCACTTTTCTGGCACTAACTGCTCCCCCTGCCCTCCAGCAGCAGGGTCAGAGCCACAGGTGGGGGCTGAAGATGCTGAAAAGGAAGAAAACAAGCCCAGGGGTATAATCTGCCCCAAATCTCCCCCCACACTCCTCTCACACCTTTTCCCTCTCAGTATGTTGTCACTCTTCCTGACAGCTCTGTCCTTGTTCCCTAAGCCTTGCATGACTGATGTCCTTCTTGATCAGCAAGTTTTAAGGGTTTCTTGAGCTGGGTTGGCCTGAACATTAAAAAGCAGCTTGATATTATCAGGTTTGCTTACTCACCGACTGGTGCAATCCAGCCAGAGCTTCAATGCCCTCCCTTCAACGCCCGGAGAGCGGACAGACCTTGGAATTTTAGTCTGGAGAAGAGAAGACTGAGGGGTGGACAGACCTTGGGATTTTAGTCTGGAGAAGAGCAAACTGAGGGGGGATCTGAGCAACACCTATAAATATCTAAAGGGTGAGTGTCAAGAGGATGGGGCCCGTCTGTTTCAGTGGTGCCCAGGGACAGGACAAGAGGAAATGGGCACAAACTTGACCATAAGAAGTTCCACCTAAACATGAGGAGGAACTTCTTGACTTTGAGGGTGGCAGAGCCCTGGAAGAGGCTGCCCAGAGAGGTGGTGGAGTCTCCATCTCTGGAGACATTCAAAGCCCACCTGGACACGTTCCTGTGCGACCTGCTTTGGCAGGGGGTTTGAGGAGATGATCTCCAGAGGTCCCTTCTAACCCCATATCATTCTGTGATCTTCATCGATCAAGATCGGTGAAGAAAGAGGACACCGTGCCAAAAGGGTAACCCCATCGATCAAGATTGGTGAAGAAAGAGGACACCGTGCCAAAAGGGCAGATGCTGAGGAAAATACTCTTATTATCCCGTTGGGCTCAGGATGCCTCTCTCCAACCTGTAGGTGGGAGCACCATCTGGGCCACTGGAGACGCCGGGGTTTGCCTGGAGCACGGATCCATCCAGCTGGGCTCAGGTCACGTTGCAGCGCATCAGCAAAACTCCCGGCGTATTTTTAAATCCTCCTTCCCTCTCCAGATTCATCTAACACTCCATCTACCTCTGCAACAGTCAATAAAAAGAGCGCCAAGAAATGTTTTTTCCCTCAACTGGAGAAGTGCTCGTTTATTCTGCTAAATTGTTAACATAGTTCCCAGCAGAGCATTGGCCAACTCGCCCCGGGACACACAGCTCCCAGGCACGGGCTGGGACTCGGCTCAGGAATCGCTCCTCATCTGTGGTTCAACTCCTGCCACGCAGCTGCCCTGGGTGGAAGATAAATTTCATGTTATGGCATGTGTCACCCTCTGCCAGCTGCTCCGGGTGCCAACAAACAGTCCCGGGCATATTTACCCTTCCCGAGTCACCGCCGCCGTTATGGCCAAGTGCCTTCAGATTGCTCCAGAACTGTAATGGACACAGCTCCCGCCTCAGATCGCTGCCCACCCAGCTATCACCTCTGAAAAAAAGAAAAAAAAATCACTGCAGTCTTCACCTCCTGCTCTCTGGAAAGGATTAAACTTCTAATTAATGCCTACAAGTATCTCAAGGGTGGGCTGATTATTCTGCTAAATTGTTAACATAGTTCCCAGCAGAGCATTGGCCAACTCACCCCGGGACACACAGCTCCCAGACACGGGCTGGGACTCGGCTCAGGAATCACTCCTCATCTGTGGTTCAACTCCTGCCACGCAGCTGCCCTGGGTGGAAGATAAATTTCATGTTATGGCATGTGTCACCCTCTGCCAGCTGCTCCGGGTGCCAACAAACAGTCCCGGGCATATTTACCCTTCCCGAGTCACCGCCGCCGTTATGGCCAAGTGCCTTCAGATTGCTCCAGAACTGTAATGGACACAGCTCCCGCCTCAGATCGCTGCCCACCCAGCTATCACCTCTGAAAAAAAGAAAAAAAAATCACTGCAGTCTTCACCTCCTGCTCTCTGGAAAGGATTAAACTTCTAATTAATGCCTACAAGTATCTCAAGGGTGGGCTGAGGGAACCAGACTCTTTTCAGTGGTTCCCAGTGAGAGGACAAGGGGCAATGGGCACAAGTTGTAACATAAAGGGTTCCACTTGAATATGAATCATAGAATCATAGAATCATAGAATCATAGAATCATTGAGGTTGGAAGAGACCCTTGGGATCATCGAGTCCAACCATCTCCCCTACTCTACAAAGTCCTCCCCTACACCATGTCCCTCAGCACTGCATCTAAACGGCCCTTAAACACAGCCAGGGACGGTGACTCCACCCCCTCCCTGGGCAGCCTGTTCCAATGTCTGACCACTCTTTCGGTGAAAAATTCTTTCCTAATGTTCAGTCTAAACCTCCCCTGTTGGAGCTTGAAGCCATTCCCTCTCGTTCTGTCACTAATTACCTGTGAGAAGAGACCAGCACCAACCTCTCTACAGTGTCCTTTCAAGTAGTTGTAGAGAGTGATGAGGTCTCCCCTCAGCCTCCTCTTCCTCACACTAAACAGCCCCAGCTCCTTCAGCTGCTCTTCATATGATCTGTCTTCCAGCCCCCTCACCAGTTTCGTTGCCCTCCTCTGCACTCGCTCCAGCACCTCCAGATCTCTCTTGGATTGAGGTGCCCCAAACTG